ACAGCGGACCTGGTTGGGGACTCCAACCAGTTCCAAAGACATAACACCCAGCCTCCTCCACCACCTCTGGAGCCACACTCCCATTCCCTGTTGGCTGTTCCTCCTCTTCCTCAGAGTCAGTCTCCACCAGAGGCATGACAACATTTTTCACACTTATGACCGTTGCAGCATCCCCACTGTCATGAGAGGCCAGGCGAGGAGAAGCGCCCCTTGACATGAGTGATGTTGAGTTGGCCATGCCACCCAGTCACATGACCACCAGGCCACACCCACCAACTAACCCACGCCTACAGAACCAGTTGTTAAAAAAAATTGAATCCCACTCCTGGTATGGATCATGTGTTTTGGGAATAATTAAGCCAAGCTTTTTCCTCTTCCCCATTAGACACAAAAACAACTGTTGGGACTAGCTGTGTATGATGATCTAGCTCAGTGGTCACCAATCAGTGGGCCATGGCCCATTGGTGGGCTGTGAGAAAATTTTGGTGGGCTGCAGAGAAATGTCAACCCCAGAGCACCCCCCCAAAGCAATTAATCCAGGCTGTGCAGAAACACAAGGCTGTACCGCCCACTCACTCCTTACCCTGCAAACTTGCCTGCTAAGTTGCTATTTTTTTCTTTTTCTGACCATCACCTGTTCTGCTGTGCCGGGAGATTTAGATTAGCTAGAAAGCAAGAAATGGTTGGATTTCTTGCTTTCTAGCTAGTCTTTAGATCAGTCCCTTAGGACTGAAGGTTCTATTATTCAATGCAGACTCATGGCAAGCAAATTTTATGTGACAGACTCAGGTAGCTGATGGCAGATAGATAGATCAACGAATGATTCTGTGAGTAACTCAATCTGTCTGACTGCTTTGCCTGATTTTGGGTAAAACTTGTTTTTTTAATAAAAAATTCAATATTTTTATAAATATAAATATAATATTTATATAAATATATTTACATACAAGCCATGCCCAGGCAATCACATGACCACCAAGCCACACCCACAAATTTGGCCACGCCCACAGAACTGGTTAGTGGTCTCTGGGATTTAAAATTATCAGTTTGGTGGTCCCCGAGGTCCAAAAGGTTGGTGACCCCTGCCCTGGCCAATGGGGCCTGCCGCATGCCTCCTCTGGGTTTGGCGCTAACCATTGGTTATAACCTATAACCATTATAAAATGAGTAAACATCTAGATCATTTTCGGTCCCCAGTTGGAAGTGTTTGTGTGTACAATCTACGTATTCTACGAACTTGTATGATGCTGAGTTAGCGTAGGGCGTAGATAGTTAGGACTCGTACACTCCGCTTTCATTGCTTCATTAGCAACCCACCCCCTTGATTCCTATGATGTTCATAAAAGACTACATTTCCCAGCCAACGCTACTGCGTTATATTATTGTAGCTTGATGCAGCAAAGTCGAAGGGGGAGGAAGTGAGACAGTTTCCGGTTAAAATAAGGCTCTGTGGTTCCGGCCGGCGTTTCTCTTAAGATGGCGGCTGCGGCGGGTTTGGAGTTTCAGCGCGCCCAATCTTTGCTAAGCACTGATCGCGAGGCCTCAATCGGCATTTTGCACTCCATAGGTGAGTTGGGGCCGCCGAAACGTGGAAAACTGGCAGATGACCTGGCTGCCAATAGTGCAACGAAATTGATGATGGGCCTGGACAGGTTGAGTTGGATCCACTGCTGACTCACTGAGCAATTTCGAAGGAAAACGGGAGCTGCTAAGAAAGGAATTTGGAAATGGGAAGGCTCAGTGGGTTATTCAGCATCGCTTCATGGAAATAGAGAAAGCAAGTCGGGATTGGAAGACAAATGCTGGGATTGAGGGGAGGGTTGAGGCTAACAGGTGGCCTCAAAGCACCAAGCGGGCTGTCTGATCTGTCATATTGGCTTTTATTCAGAAGGGGTGGTCTGATGATTAGAAGCTAAGCGGGCAGATTTGTCCGCTAGGAATGGATTCTGCTGCCGCTTTTCACCTACTTTCTAGCCTTTGCCCTGACCTAGTTAGGTTAGTCTGACTTCCTAAGCGGACTGTTAGGCCTGCTTCACTCTTGAATCTCCACTCAAAAACAACTTTCTCTGACACTAACGAGCGGACGATTGTATACAGAGGGCAGAGAAATGTGTATGAGGCTGATGATCAGTTGGAGGGTTCTTGAAATATAGGTTGATCTAATGGGAATGGAGAGTGGATTCTTGGTCACAGTGAATATGTAAGGGAGTACATTGCATTTGCTTTACCAGTTGTTTAATATGTTCATTCAGTATTTTTAGCATTAATTTTGACAGGCAAGTAGCAGTACATGGTAATGCATTTTACATGTCATGAAACATTTTACTTGTTGATTGTAGAAAAGACTATTTACAAGTGTAAATTAGTATATCTGGATGTTTTATTAATTCATTTTTAGTTGGGATTTTCTTGTTAGCTAATAGTATGCTTGATAAGACTGCTCTGCTACAGAGAGTAAAAGGGGAAACATGCTCTGCAATAGAAGTGGACTTTTTAGGGAGACAGAATGTTATGGTCAGGGCATGGCAGTAGGAGTGCTAATGTGAGGAGTAAGTGATGGATCTAAAAAGTGCTAATACAGAAATTGGATATAGAAAAAATGGTAAAGCAGCATGAATAAAGTTGTTGGTGGAGCACACTTTGAATGTTCCTGACATTTCCTTTTCTGTGTGAGGGTATTGCTGGTTAGAGCACATTCATGTTCCAGAAGTCTACTGTACGTCCACATAGGTAAATATGTTATGTAGAAATGTCAGCTGCTATTAAACAAGATGGCTACTATCCTAATGCCCATTAATGGGCTTCATGAGGGCATATGGTTAACTACTAGATTTTAAATAAGCTTTTGTTCCTATTTTAGGACTGTCCTTGTTCCTATCTAAAAGGAATTTGGTTGAATTAATTATGTAATTCTAAAAACATTGCAGAAAGGGTAGGTTTCCAAATTGGGAGGTAAGAGACAATCCCAATTTTCTGTAAAATGAGTAATTAACTACCCTTTTTTCTTCTGTGCACATACTCTTACACATCTTAATATAATTCATACATTTTATATCACATTCCAGTTGATTTTCTGTAGAACACGTTAGTTGGTAACAGCAGCCAGTAAGACAACATCCGCGCTCAGACAAATATGAGTACAGGACACCTGCTGTAGAGGTTTTTTACTTTTTGTGAGATTGCTAGCAGCAAAGAAATGAGTACACCACCAAGGGCAACTTGCTTCCACCTTCACTGTCCACAGAAGGTTCCCTGGTCTTGCAGTGTTAGGTGAATCCTGGTGTTAGTTACTAGAACTTATGAAGACAAGATTGATTCAGGGAATTGGTTCCTATGCATCTGTGCTGTGCTTGACAATGAGTGTTTGCCTTCGGACAAAATGAATTTTATGATATTCTGATTATTCTGAAAATAGGAAACGAAGTATTAATTTTGCTCAGTAACTTTGTTATTGGGAACTGTTGTGTCCTGAGAGCAGCTCCTGTTGGCATTAAGATTATTTTAGGTCACCCACACAGCATTTTATTTTTCCTATAGTTCTATAATTTTAAGTGCAGTCCGTCATAGGTGACAGTTATGCTGTTCTTTCCATTATCAGTTGTCCCAGGATGGAAAGATAAATTAGGATGGAATGAATGATTCTGCCAATTAACCTTTTGTAAGCAATAATAGATTATAGTGGGGATGTGTATTTTTTTATTTCTGGTCAGTATATGATATTTATCCTTAGTATTGCTAAAGATAATTGGATGATCTCACAAGCAAAAAGTTTGTATTTCATTCATGCCTTAAATGTTAGCTGCTGCACTGTGCAGGTACTGTAAGAAACAAGCTTACTGTTTTGGCTTCTCTGAATAACAGTGGTTTTGTACCTGTTCATGAAAATTAGCACTGGTGGCATACCTGTTTTTAGTGTTGGAAAATTTTGTATGCATTGTCTTATTTACAGTAGTAACACATTCGAGAGTGAAGATTAATTTCATAGTTGCAGCCATATTTATGCTGATGTAAGTATTAATACCAAATGGGCTGACATCAAACACTGTATAAATATTCTATTTTATGAGCTGCCTCATGATGCGGATCTTTCTGCTCCTTGTTCAAGACAATGAATAATTTGTCAGGCAGGTCTTTTTGGCTTATAAGAAGCAAGTTAAATTTAAAATGGAAGTTTGAGAGAATTGTAAACAGTCTTTCATTTGAAATATACTCTTATTAAAATGTTTATCTTCACAGTGAAACGTGATGTTCAAGAGAATGATGAAGAAGCAGTCCAAGTCAAAGAACAGAGCATTCTGGAACTTGGGAGTCTTTTGGCCAAGACAGGACAGGCAGAAGGTAAATTCTATTTTTAAGCAATTTAATAGTATTTCTAAAACTGGAATAAATACTCGAGTGGGAGATTTTCTTTTCTACCAGTGATTTGAAATTGATCTTGATCAAATAATCCTGTTTAAACCTCTTCGTTTTCCCACCACAGTTTCTCCATGTTAAATTGTGATTTAACTATGGCTGGCTTCACACATCTCATAAAGCCATAAACTATAAACACTAACTTGGTTCACACTGCATTCTAAGCCCAAACAAACCATTTTGTGACCTAGTCATTAGAGTTAATGGATTAGACTTTATACTTCTCCCTACGTGTTCAGTGGACTATTAATTTTTTTTTTTTTTAGTGAAGCTTACTGTGTAATACGTTTTATAAGCCATTTGTTTCACAGTATTTTGCATGATGATTTTATTCTTGAATATTGATGGTGGTGTTAGTCGCCCAGAGTCACCTGGTAAATGGGTAGCCATATAAATTGAGGAAATAAACATTTCAGAGAACTGGAGGAAATAGTAATGTTGAGAAACAATTAGGCAAAGTGACATATTTCAGTTACACATTTGGGAAAGACCCCTATAATAAACATGTAATGGAAATCAGAATTAGTTTATATGAATATGCCTTTTCTGTCTCAGATAACTGACTGCTGAAATTAAGAACTATGTGATCACTTTTTCTAGAATAAGACCATAACCTTTTATAATGCATTATGATGCAATTTCATATCCTGAGCTATATTGCTACTTGATTATTTTATTGTCAATACAGAGCTTGGAGGACTTCTGAAGTATGTTCGTCCTTTCTTGAACTCCATTAGCAAGGCAAAGGCAGCCCGTCTGGTTCGGTCCCTGCTAGACCTATTCCTAGACATGGAAGCTGCAACAGGACAAGAGGTGAGACAACTGAAATTCAGGCACAGGCATGCTACTTCAAATTCAGAATGTTGGCAGCTGTTTCTGAAAAGTCCTCTTGTAAAACATTCAGAGCCAGCTTATGTCGAAAATGATATGACAGCAGTGAAGATACAAATAGGAGAAAAATAATTGAATGTAGTTTTTCTGTTAGGTTGACCTTTGTCTTGAATGCATTGAATGGGCCAAATTGGAAAAGAGGACGTTCCTACGCCAAGCTCTGGAGGTACGTGTGACATGCCCATTTTAGTTAATATAGTGATGCACTTGGGTTTGGAAACCTGCAATTCTCTATGCCAGTACGCCATACTCAAACCCATACTCAAACATTTGTCATCGCTTTTTCTCTAGGTTATCGATGGCATGTTCTCAAGTATTAGTTTGGAGCATGATAAACTTCCAGACTGATATTGTGATCCGGGGTGTTACACAAAAATAACCAAGTCACAAAAATAGAAGAAAGTCCCTTTAATGCCTCCAACTTGGCTCCAATGTTCAATTATCTTCAGGTGGATATCAAACTCTTAAAAAAAAACAGTTTATGGAGGGAGTAAATGCAGTCTGCACCCAAAGTAAAGTTAATTCAAAATAAAAAACCCAACACAAACCACATTGAAGGAATTACTACTGCAGGCAAGGATGATTAATTGTAGACTTCTACCAGATAACACAGCAACCACAGTTGGGAGGAAGCCAAAACACAGATAAGCTCCGACAAGAATGCACGCTTTGCTTCTTGCAACTTTGCCATGCGCAGTTTGTCCTTTTAAACCTCCCAGCTGCAGCTCATGAAGGGGATCAGGCCCCCTTCCTCCTCGTAGACCACGCCACTCACATTTCTCCCTTATCCGCTCCTCCCTGTGTGCCCTAGGAAGAAGAGGGGATGGGCCTGGGTCTTCCTCCAAATGCCCATCTGGCCTGTGCCCTTCCCCAGTTTCCTCCACAACCACCGGAGCCACACTCCCACTCCCTGTCACCTGTTCCATCTCTCCCTCAGAATTAGACTCCAACAGGGGCATGACAGATATTCTTAAGTTATTACTGGCAATGTTTCCTCCAGTTTATAATGCAAATATCTTTTGCTTCTTAAAGAGTGTCCTGTTATGGTTGAAGTAAGACCTTATCTACATGAATGCATTAATGAAATGATAATTCTACTAGCATGTTAATGCATGTTGTTCAATGTGTGCCTTTAGTCCATGTTTCTGTTCTACCATTGCCAATCCTTGAACAGGATTTATTTCTAAATTACAGGTAGTCCTTGACTTACAACAGTTCATTTAGTGACCATTCGAAGTTACAACCACACTGAAAAGAGTGACTTATGACCATTTTTCACATAACCATTGCAGCATTCCCGTGATCACGTGATCAAAATTCAGAGGCCTGGCAACTGACTCATATTTATGATGGTTGCTGTCTCCTAGGGTCATGTCCCCTTTTGCGATCTTCTGACAAGCAAAGTCAATGGGGAAACTAGATTCACTTAACAACCATGTTACTAACATAACGGCAGTGATTCGCTTAACTGTGGCAAAAAAGGTCATAAAAGCTTTCATTGTTGGGGGTGATTTTAACCACTCTAACTTGAGAACAGTACTCCCTAAATTTTATCAGAATATCTCTTGCTATACAAAGGGGGATAAAACACTGGATCATGTCTACACTAATGTTGAAGATGCATACAGAGTCTTCTCTCTCCCCCACCTGGGACAGTCCGAACTCCCATTGTTTTTTACTCCCTAAATACACATCACTCATTAAACATGTGAAACCCTCTGTGATTATGCAAGAAACACACAACAATAGTAATGGGAGATTTCAATTATCCTGATATCAATTGGAAAACTAATTCTGCACCAAGTGAGAAATCAAATAAGTTCCTAACCAACCTAGCTGACAACTTTGTTGTCCAAAAGGTAGAGGGTGAAACTAGAGGGACAGCCATACTGGACTTAATTCTTACAAACAGAGAAGAAGTGATAGAGGGAGTTGAAACTGCAGGAACCTTGGGTGAGAGTGACCATATCATACTAGAATTCAACATAACACAAACACAAGCAACAACATGATGACACCAGAGTCCTGGATTTTAAAAGAGCTGATTTCAATAAACTCAGAGAAAACTTGGGAAAGATTCCATGGATGAAAATCCCAAAGAGGGAAAACAACTCAAGAATCTTGGGAAACTCTAAAAAGTATGATCATAGAAGTCCAGACCAGCACAATACCACTGAGAAAGAAAAACAAGAAATCCAAGAAGAAACCAGCATGGCTACACAAAGATCTCTCTGGCAAATTGAAAGAAAAAAAGGACAAGTACAAAAAATGGAAAGAAGGACATACAACGAAGGCAGAATATCAGCAGATAGCCAGAATCTGCAAAGACGAAGTCAGGATAGCAAAGGCTCAGAATGAACAAAGACTTGCAACAAAAGTCAAAGATAATAAAAAAAGTTTCTTCCAACATATAAATAACAAGAAAAAAATCAAGGAAGCAGTTTGTCCACTAAGGAGAGAAGACGGCAAGGAAGTAACAGGCAACAAAGAGAAAGCAGAGCTCCTTAACTCATTTTTTGCATCAGTCTTCATGCAAAAACAAACTATAGCTCAACCCACCAAAAACATAACTGTAAAAGACACACCAGAATGAAAAGATAAAATAAGCAAAAAAATAGTAAGAGAACATCTGTCTGATCTTGATGAAAACAAATCACTGTGACCTGATGGATTACATCCCAGAGTTTTAAAGGAGCTGGCAGAGGTCATCTCAGAACCACTGCACCATATCTTTCAAAAATCCTGGAGCACCAGGGAACTACCAGAGGACTGGAAAAGAGCTGATGTGGTTCCCATCTTCAAAAAAGGAAAAAAACCGGACCCAGGAAAGTATAGACCAATCAGCCTAACATCAATACCCGGGAAGATACTGGAAAAGATAATAAAAAAACAGATCTGACAACATCTAGAAACAAGTAAAGTAATAACTAGCAGTCCGCACGGGTTTGTTAAGAACAGATCATGCCAATCCAATCTTATTTCATTCTTCAATACAGTGACTAAATTAGTAGACCAGCAAAATACTGTGGACATAATATATTTAGATTTCAGCAAGGCATTCAATAAAGTAGACCACAACCTACTTCTTAGTAAGCTAGAAAAAAGTGGAATAGATAGCACCACCACTAGATGGACTTGCAACTGGCTGGCAAACCGTACCCAACGAGTAGTCCTTAATGGGTCTAAGTCTACATGGAGGGAAGTAAGCAGTGGGGTGCCACAAGGTTCCGTCTTTGGCCCAGTACTCTTCAATATCTTCATTAATGACTTTTATGAGGGAATAGAAGGGGAACTTACCAAATTTGCAGATGATACTAAGCTGGCAGGAATAGCTAACACCTAAGAAGATAGGCTCAAGATCCAGATGGATCTTGACAGACTAGAACACTGGGCCATATCTAACAAAATGAAATTTAATGTAGAGAAAAGTAAAGTCCTACACTTAGGCAAGAAAAACTAACGGTACACATATAGACTGGGTGAAACCAGGCTTAATAGCAATAACTGTGAGATGGATCTTGGAGTCTTAGTGGACAACCAGCTAAACATGAGCCAGCAGTGTGCAGCAGCCACCAAAAAAGCTAGTGTAATCCTTAGTTGTATTAACAGAGGGATACAGTCAATATCAAGTTGAGGTACTAATACCACTCTATAAAGCCTTAGTAAGACCACACCTAGAGTACTGCATCCAGTTTTGGTCACCACATTATAAAAAAGATGTTGAGACTCCAGAAAAAGTACGGAGGAGAGCAACCAGGATGATTAGGGAACTGGAGGCTAAAACATACAACGAACGGTTACAGGAACTGGGCTTGGCTAGTCTTGTAAAGAGAAGGACCAGGGGAGACATGATAGCAGTCTTCCAATATTTGAGGGGCTCCCACAGGGAGGAAGGGGTCAAGCTATTTTCTAAAGCTCCTGTAGGCCAGACAAGGAATAATGGATGGAAACTGAACAAGGAGAGATTTAACCTGGAAACAAGGAGAAACTTTCTGACAGTGAGAACAATCCACCAGTGGAACAGCTTGCCCTCGGAAGTTGTGGGAGTGCCATCACTTGAGACTTTCAAGAAGAGATTGGACTGCCATTTGTCAGAAATGGTGTAGGGTCTCCCGCTTGGGTGGGGGCTTGGACTAGATGACCTACAAGGTCCCTTCCAACTCTGATTATCTGTATCTGATTACAATTAAAGTTTGGCCGGAAGAATCGGACAATATACTGCAGGACCGATTTCAGCATACGGACTGGAGTATGTTTGCTTCTCAAACTACCTCTGAGTCTCACATGGACATTGATAAATATACCTCTTCTGTCTTGGATGAAAGACTGCTCAAAAAAATAAAGGGAACACTTAAACAACACAGTGTAACTCCAAGTCAATCACAGTTCTGTGAAATCAAACTGTCCACTTAGTTAGCAACACTGATTGACAATCAATTTCACATGCTGTTGTGCAAATGGAATAGACAACAGGGGGAAAGCATAGGCAGTTAGCAAGACATCCCCAATAAAGGAGTGGTTCTGCAGGTGGTGACCACAGACCACTTCTCAGTTCCTATGCTTTCTGGCTGATGGTTTGGTCACTTTTGAATGCTGGCGGTGCTTTCACTCTAGTGGTAGCATGAGACGGAGTCTACAACCCAGACAAGTGGCTCAGGTAGTGCAGCTCATCCAGGATGGCACATCAATGTGAGCTGTGGCAAGAAGGTTTGCTGTGTCTGTCAGCATAGTGTCCAGAGCATGGAGGCGCTACCAGGAGACAGGCCAGTACATCAGGAGATGTGGAGGAGGCCGTAGGAGGGCAACAACCCAGCATCGGGACCGCTACCTCCACTTTTGTGCAAGGAGGGACAGGAGGAGCACTGCCAGAGCCCTGCAAAATGACCTCCAGCGGGCCACAAATGTGCATGTGGCTGCTCAAACGGTCAGAAACAGACTCCATGAGGGTGGTATGAGGGCCCGATGTCCACAGGTGGGGGTTGTGCTTACAGCCCTGCAGGATGTTTGGCATTTGCCAGAGAACACCAAGACTGGCAAATTCACCACTGGCGCCCTGTGCTCTTCACAGATGAAAACAGGTTCACACTGAGCACATGTGACAGACGTGACAGGGTCTGGAGACGCCGTGGAGAATGTTCCGCTGCCTGCAACATCCTCCAGCATGAC